CCGAATAACACACATGCACAAATAGGACCTGTGGACATGCATTAGTGGAGAGATGTCAGAGTGGGGCCGGAGCGGTTGTGGGTTCGGTGCCTTGCTTCAGGGCACCTCGGCAGTACTCTGGAAGTGCCCTGGCACCTCTCCAGCTACCAGAACAACTTCTGTATTTTTGGTCCGCAACCGGGACTTGATCCCTTTGGTTCCCAACCCAAGTCCCTAAGGACTGAGCTACTGCTGCCCCCCAAACCTAAGTATGTATATACCTATACTGGTACAACCGTATTGTATAGTGTACAGTATGTAATGTATTATTTGGTTTACATGAAAGTTTTTAAAACCAAAAGCTATCTGTTTGAAACAGGTAATTTAAATGCTTTAAGTCCAGGACTAGATCACTGTGTCAAGGGTCATTAATCAGAAGTTGCCCCAACACCACATGGCCTTCATGTCTTTCTTTTTTTTTTTTGCAAGAATTGTTGCAAAGACATTTCATGGTTTGGATTTGTTTCATTGAAACTTCTTGTCCAAAGTATAAAAAAGTCTGCAGGTTTCTGATGGTCTTACACTTGAGTTTACTGACCTTGACTGACCCCGGTCACAGGCCTCTGAGGCAACGTCCTCACAAATATTTTCTGCAAGGTCACATTTGTGATTGTTTTCACATCCCTATTCATTCCTCCTTCAAGCAACACATTCTAATGTGACAAACATCCATTTTACAAATGTGCCTCAGTGCCGAGTGAAAATTGAAATAGTCTTTGAGTGTGCTCGGGCTTAAAAGATGCTAAAATCCCACTTTGAAAATTAAATGGTTTTGCTCTGAAGCAGTGGAGAATGATATGCACCAGTGTAGCCTGTGGGAAGTCACTGTGCGGAAACACTCGGTCTGTATGAGACGGAGACAATTGATCAAAACAGACTAATTAATGTATGTGTTTTACATATATTCATTTCCGCATCAAATATTAATGGAAATAAACGTATTTGTTTTTCAAATGAGCGCGAGGCTATCAAATATTTCAGACACACCTCATTAAAGATACAGAGCCAAGAGCAAGCATGCATTTTTAAAGTGCCACGATTCACAATGGGGGTTTCTGCTCAGTAGTGTGACCTAGATCAGCTCTGCAGAGGGCTGAGTGCTGCTCGAGATCAAGTTGTGTTTTGTAGAGGAATCTTGACCTCTGTGTCTTTTTCATCACGCCCTTTTAAATCCAGTAAAAAAGAATGAATGTAACTTTTAATGGAGTTAAAAGAGGCTTCAGCCGAGAGTTGGAGTGTGTGTTCACTTTTAGACTGTACAGCCAGAAGTTTAAAAATTATTATACTGCCATGGAATGATGCAATGTTTTCTTTTTATTTTTTAATATGAGCCATTTTCTTGAATATAATATGCCTTAGTGTTCACTAATCGAGACAAAGACATACCCGAGACCAGAGTGCTCTGAGAGACAAGACCAAGACCAAGACCAAGCAGGGCGAGACCAAGATCAAGACCAAGACCAAGACCAAGACCAGAATATCTATTATAAAATCCTCGACTTGTGTGCAGCGGCCGTGTCACTCACTTAGACAGTAACACTGGGAAGGTTGCAGCCGTAACCGGGGGATAGACTATCAGTGCTGGTCTTGATTTTAAATTCGGAGATGCCCAGTCCGAGACCGAGACATGACCGAGTAAAAATGCTTTTGATTCCGAGACCTTCAAAAAGTGGTCTCAGAGCTTCTGAATTACAAAAATATATTTATTGGTTTACTAAGTCACCTGTGAGGTAAACAGGATCTTTAAATATTTGATATCTCTCTGGTAAATTGTAACGAGCAAACTTCTACCAATGGACAAACAAATTGAAGTTTTTAATATGAGTATTTGCAAACAGTTAATTGATTGATTTAGAAAATAATGTGTTGATGAATAATAAATATAACCGTGAATTAAACATGACACCCTCTGTGATATCAGGTGTGTTAACTGCTTTAGTTTTACCTTTTGTTCTTAAAATACTGCCAGACAAATGTTAGGTGAATGGTCAGGTTTTGAGATTCAAAGATGCTGCATAATCACAAAATTAATTAAAAGGAAATCAAAAGCTTACAGATCATACACCATTAGTTGAGATAGTAAGACTGGCCTCAATGATACTGCAACACTAACATCATCAGCAACAACAACAACACAGATCCAGGAGTCGCTCTGCGTAGAAGCTGAATGAACTGCTTAATGACTGACGACTTTAAGCTTTACAGACTTCTGCATGATTTGAAGCACACGCTGAATCAAACTTACACATAGCTTAAAAGACAAAAGCTCTTAAAGTCTGAACAGGTAGGTAGAATAGCAGCGCACAAACACAGCAAATAAAAACAATTAACTCGTTTTTTTTTTTTTGTCTAATCTCCATGAAATGAAGTTAATTCTCTTTTGAAGTAAATTAGTTCCTTCTGCATGTTGCTGATGAACTCCTTGTCTTTTTGTTTTTGAGACTTTGAAGTCATTGTTATTAGTTTTTATTCAATACATTTTTATTTTAGTCTCATATTCTTCCATTTTTAACTAACTTATTTTAACGTTTCTTGAATCATAAATAAGCAGCAATGCCTCTTAAATTCTGGTTTTGCTGGGATTGTCTCTCAGGAACTCAGAAATGGTAGATAGACATCTTAAACACCTATAGCACTTTTTTTAAGGTTTATTTTTGGGGCTTTTTTGCCTTTATTTGAGAGACAGGGTAGTGGATAGTCAGAAATCAAGAGAGAGAGAGTGGGGAATGACTTGATGGAAAGGAGCCACAGGTCGGATTTGAACCTGGGTCGCCCACCTGGAGGACTATGGCCTCCACTGGTAACCACTAGGCTACAGACTATTCTACCAGACACTCAACGCGCTTACACTTAATGTCACATTCACCCGTTCACACACACAGGTTTATTGCAGAGGATGTGACATAATACATAATGTGCCTTTCAGTATTGACTTGTCCCGTTTGATACATATTCACACACTGCTGGCTGTCACTGGGAGAAGCTCAGGATTGAGTTTCCTGCGCAATGACACCTCGTCATGTAGACCGCAGGAGCGACCAAACCAACAAACCTCAGAGCCACAGCCGCTCCAATAGCTATAAAAGTTTATCCAGCTACCTTAGGTTTGTATCACAGCAATTCATGTGATGATTCACTTTAGCTTATCACAGGTTGTGGCCTCTGCGTTAAAACCAAGTAGTAACACTTGGAGGAAAAAGTATCACCAGGCTATACTGTGGGCTAAAAGGCAATTTATATATTTATATTTAGATATTATCAGCTCTACAGGTTATTACAGCAGATATTCATAAATCAAATTGTCGAGGTTATCTGCTGCACTAGCAAACACGTAGTGATATTAAATTATTATTAATGACTTCTGTGTGCCTCCTATTAAAGGTTGGTAGAGTCATCATCTCTAAACCAGAAAGTCAGGGTTCGATCCCCTTCTCCTGCAGCCTCATGTCTGATATGGCCTTGGGTAAGACACCCAACTTGCTCCCACTGCGTATGAACATGTATGAATGGTATTATGTTTAACTGATGGACACTTTACATCGCAGCATTTGCCATCAGTGTGTGAATGACTAGAAAAGTCATGTACAAGCTCAAGTCCATTTTCCATACCGTCACTGTGTAAACAACTAAACTGAGAGTGATTTTAAACCAGATAATTATTTGGATAAACTGAGATGAAAATACAAAGATGTCTTTTATAACCTGCTGAGAGAGAAATACACAAGGCCTTTATATTGCCTTGTGCTTTCTACTCATTGCACAACATGTTTGTGGCTCTGATCACTACCTCACCCATGATGATGAAAAAACACTGAGTCATTTATTTCCGGGGCTGTATCAGTTACAGAAACCTGGAGATCCTGTTGGCTCCTCTGTGACATCAATTGGTGTTAGTCATACTATCGCACTGCAATTAATACAGCATCCATACCTGGAACAATCACTGCCGAGGCTGAAACAGAGGCTTCTGATTGTCACTCTAAATGAAATTCACTGAACAAGCAACACAATCTTATTTGTTTACAGTTTGTTTCACTTTAGTTTACAGTTACACAGCCTAATCACACAAGTGCTTATTCAGCTAAAGCTCTACTTGTTCAGTCAGAGTATTAATCATTTAATTTAATTACAGTCCAAATAAGTGGATCAGTGACTCAATTAAATACTAACAACACAATGAGGTTAGCCATGTTGCAGACACACTTGTTCTGCCTTGTTCTTAGTGAGGCACTTAGTTTGATCAACGTTTACTGGAGCATTTCAGTGCAGACTGTTCACGTTCACTGTTTAAGCTTTAAGTTGTATTTAAATTGACACTTTCTATTTAGGTTAAAATGTTTTGTTTACTTGCACTGTTGTTAATTTACTGCTCTGTGTGCCTTTGAATCCCCCCCCCCACCAGGGACAAATAAAGTTTTTTGAATTGAATTGAAATTGTTTTCCTACTTGATTTGAGGAGTTTTGTTATGGCAGGCTTTGACCAGCAGGGGGAGGGGGCGCTCTTTCTAAAGGGTTCAGGTGTTGGCTGGAGTCGTGATTACTAGTTATGGACGCGTGAGTCATTTCTCAGTATCGCCGTGTCCTGTGCCTTCCACGTGGTGCTGAGTCACCCGCCGCCACTGAGGACAGGACATGTAGGGCACACTTTGACTGACAGACCCTAATGAGCACACTCCGTCTGGGAAACACCGAGTGTGTTTATCAGCTGAGTGCAAGTTGTCAGCATTGTCACTGCGTTTCAAAACAGGATGAAAATCACACTTTGTTACATGAACAAGGACAACAAACTCCACTTATCTTTGACTTTCATACTTACGTGTACACCATTGGTTTATGGTATGAGTAGGGAAAAGAGCAGCTGGTGGCTCAGATTTTTTCCCAATCATATAGAAAGCAACACTTAACAGTGATGTTAAACTCACAGCACAACTGCCAGTGGAGGCAGAAAAAAGACACATGAATGCTTTTTATTTCAATTTATTTATCTTTAAAGAACCGATACGAATTGGGGATGTTTTTTCAAAATGGGTACAATGATAAAAAACTGACCCTTTCCATTCTTCTCAACGTTATCTTTCAGGTTGGATCTTAGGCTCTCTGTGTGTGTGTGGCGTTTAACTATGCATATTTCTGGATGTCCTATTGTAGCCCGTTTTATGAATGCAAGCAGGAGGAGTACCTGTTTGTAGGAGCTGATACATTGTTTCCTGTTTTTCTTACTGAATGAGTGACGTGTGAGTGTTTGCATTATGTGTAGAAAATGCTCAGCAGGGTCTGGTGGGCGTCTGAGGTGGACTGATTATTGCACTCCAACAAGGTAAAAAAAAAAAAAAAAAAGAGAAAAAAAAGACATGGCTCTCGAAGGATAAAAATAAAATAAAACAACAAAAACTATTGGATAACAAAGTGTCCTTGCCCCCTGCCAAACTCATCACTGCCACACATATATCTTGTGAATAAATATCTCAGACATATTCAAACTCAGTGAACTTCTAAACTGAAAGTGACTTTATGTTCAGTGAAGGGTAAGAGGAAGAAGAAACGTTACTGCATTTTCAGGTGAACTTTTTGAGTTTTGTGCAAAAAAAAAAAAAAAACACCCCAATACCAAAACGGACAGTCGTAATGTGTTCAAAGTTTAAAAAGTTGTTTCTGTTTTTTTTTTAAAAAGGTACATTATTCTGGCCTAATCATAATATCAATAATTAGTGGAAGTAAAAATCAGAGTATCATTTGACATTACATCTTCCCATCACCATTGCGCTTGTAAAAATAAAAATTCACGAAGTGGAATATTGTTATCCCATGATTACAACTGAAATAAAAAAAAAAAGGAAAAATAATAAAATAAAGTTAACAGGATGGACTCGAGTTGACAAAATTGGCCCGTGGTTGAACAGTGTAACCGGGAGGCGGGCCTATCTGTGTGCTTTGACCTTCCATTCATTGGTTCGGCTGGTGGATCCCCAGATCTGGATTCATTCATTCGATCACTGGCTTGCTCTCTGATCAAAAAACCATGACTCAGTGTTTACAAATCATCACAATAATTACTGATAGCACTCTTCATATTTTTTTTTTCTTTTTTAAATCTCCCGTTGATGGAAGATTACCCCACTAGATGCGCATAAGAAAGATGCACTGACAGGCAGCCTACTGCACACAGCAGTTGTGGCCGTTGGTATCCTTGAACCGCAGACGCATTTTGGGTCTGTATTTCTCGAGGTAAAGAAGCTGTTTGGAGTTGAAGGCTCCACGTCTCTTCCTGTAAGGAAACAAAAGAAGGGCAGACGATTTAAACACTAATTTCTTGCTATAATAAAGAGAAGCTTTCGCTGCAGTAATCAATCGAGTCATTCAAAGTTAGAGGAGACAGCTGATACAAAACTGTTATATCTGTCTTTTAAATATAAGGCTATGGCCAAGAGCAGCTGAGCTTAAAACAAAAGAGTTACTGAAATGGTTAGCCTGGCACTGTAGAAGAGCAACAGCAAAAACCTGCCAGAACCTCTAAAACACATAAACAAAAAAAACAGAATGTGGAAGACAATTGGTCATTTATTTGGGTTTATGTGGAGGACTATTTCTTGGCTGCATGAAGCACCTCACTGTATTTTCAGACAGCCAGGAGGCAAAATAAAAGTATTTCACAAAATGTATAACTATACCTATAAAAGCAGACATTGTTCAGGGCATAACTTTGTTTCTATTGGTGGTACTGTACTGGCTTGCATGTTCAGAAATTGTCCAAAAAACACAGACACACCCTAAAGACTATTCCTTTTCACATACGCACTCTGTTATGATTCACAAATAAATCCCTGGAATCGCCATTAAAACATGCAAGTGCAGAGGGAGGGGGGTACTTACTGCCTTATGAACTGCACAGCATCCTCGTACTTCACTCCACTCTCAATGAGGGCTAAGGCCACCAGGACTGGAGCTCTGAGGGGTAAAGAAATGCAGAGGAGACGTTAGAAGAGAGAAGGAGAACAGGAGATCTAAAGGCCTGGTTCACATGCTTCCATAGTAATATGCTGAAGGCAGAGGGAGTGTTAAACCTGGGAAAGGGGCCTGGGAAATCAACAGGGGGTGCAGATGTTCACCGTTTCCCTGCTGGGGCACTTTGTATGTGTGTGTTAGCAGGCACCCACATACACACACACACTTAACGGAGATAAGTTACAGTAAGAAAAGCATCTCCGTTCTCGCAGGATGAGAGAAAAATAAATAACCTACTAGACCACTCTGCGGGTCAAATCTCCGCGCTGACAGGGCATTTCCTCAAGCGGCTTTTCTCTCACAAAAATTTACAAGGGATAAAAAATAAATAAATGTGAGAACGCAGGGATTCAAAGAAAGTCAGAAGAAGAGAGAAACTGTGATACTGTGGACGGCGGGGTGAGAAAATGGTTTAAGAAACGACAAACAACAACAAGGCACATAGCTGCAGCCTCCCACACAGGCCCGTAAAAGTATGGAAAAACCAGCTGACTGTAGTAAACAGAGAAGAAGAAGTAGAGGGTCTGAATTCAGAAAATGCCAATCCAACCAATACTGCGAATTATACAACCACTGGAATGCCCCAGAAATGCAAAGCGCTGAAGGCCATTGAGGAATTGTGCCTTTGTGGTTGAGAAAGACGTTTTCACACTAGCCTGCCGACGTCATGCGTGCTTCTGCCTCGGTCTGTGAATATGACTGTGCGGATCTGCGCATCGCCTGTGCAAACTCATGACCGACAGACGGATCACATGCAAGTGTAATTGCCCCAGCTTTTCCAAGTCTGTCCAGGCAACAGCAACAGACTGTTGTGTCACTGATGTCAGATAAGCAGCTGATTGTCTATTTATAGAGCACATGCAGGAGCTCTAAGAGAGGGAGACATTTAGAAGATACTGGATCAATGGTTGGGTTTTTTTTTTGTTTGTTTTTTAGATGACACAACAGAACACCATGTAGTTCAGCATGTTCAGTTTTCACACCCAGCCATGGTGTAGGAGCTATGCTGAAGAAGCAACAAGTGCTAGAGGCAAGAGAGGAGGGGGTGAGAGAAAAGCTACAGGCAGTAAGAATGCGAGAAAAACATTCAGAGTCAGAGTCGGCCGATTCTGAATTCTATGTTCCAAAATCAATGAATTCAGAGATACTAAGTAACCAACAATGGGGTTTGTGTTATCATGATTTGTATCAAGGCGGCTTGTCAGATATGTAGTAGAGGGTTTTAGGCTCGTGTCCATTTAAAAGTTGTCCATAAAATATCTTTGTGACAGTGCAGCCTTTTGTCCCTAAATGTCAGTCTCCCTCTCTGCACTTTCAGACTCTGCTAAAGTAACAACTAATGCTACTGAATATGCAACAATACTCTCAAGTAGAGAACACAGCGTTTAAGTGCACAATGCTCTAGCCTGCGTGTGTTCATGTCAGTGTGCTACGTCTGCCCTGTAGTGGCACGTGAAGTTTAGGGATTGAGGATTACCTGATTATTTGTTATTCACACAACTGATTTCCTAATTGAGACAATGCCTGTTTATGTGCATTAACTCTTATATTATTTACTTGCATAGTATCAAAAACTTCAGTGGTTTACATATTTGAATTAAGGATGAAACCTACTGTAAAATCTGGAACATAAATCGCACCGATACTGACGCACTCGGTTTTTGAAGGTCTCTCAGAAAGAAAGAAAAAAGTTTAAACTGTCTTCAAGCATGACAATTTCTTTTGTGATCAGCAAAGTCCACAACATGCAGTTTCTGTGCTGCCGTGTCGCTCTTTTAGTTCCATTAGTTTTTTTCCGCTTTGTGGAGTTTGTACTAGCTACAGTACGGTAGTTGAGTTCTGCAGCGAAAGTTGTGGAGCACAGACCCCCTTCTAGCTTGCAAGGACTCCGCTGGTCACTCTTTAACTTTAATATAGGACTCTTTCAAGCAAAAGAGCACTATGCAAGGTTTATTTACAGAACAATATATCACTGTTTTCTGTAAATGCATCATTACGACCTCGTGAGTAAATGAATGTGAAAAAGTCGCGCAGCCAGCCTGGTCTGTTTCGCTATCTTCCCCAGCACAGCGTGCAATTAGCTATCAATACACAATGAATGGGGATGAATTTACAATCGCGTCAGGTCGTGTGCAGTGTGTGATGACGCCGCTTGTGACAACATTTTATACAAGTATATTGGTCGCACCGGTGTATAAGACGCAGCCAACTTTTAACGTGAAAAAAAAAAAAAGGTATTAAAAGTGCGTACACCGGCTGTTACTGTATTTAATTTCAAACATTTCTGTTTTTCTATTATAACAAAAACAGATATATATACTGGCACATGATTTTTTTGCATGAAGCACTTGGAATTGCCTTGTGGGTGAAATGTGCTATGTTAATAAATTGATCTGGCCTTCTATAAAACAATCTTTGCGGTCAGAGCTGCATTTTGAGTTAATGTCAAATCTCCAGAAAAACAACGACTCTCATCACTAACCTTCCAAGCCCTGCAACGCAGTGCACGGCAATGCAGCAGCCGGGTTCATCTCGAAACTTGGTGTTAAGCAGCTTGAGCCAGTCATCCACGATCTGGGTGGGAGGAGGGGCGCCATCGTCAAAAGGCCAGTCCTTATGGAGACAGAGGGGAAACGATCGCATGTGTAACGTGGCCATAAACAGAAATAGACAAGGCTTACACAAATGTGTTTCTAATCTTACCACAACTTGTATCCCCTCCTTCTCCACGGGAGCCTTATCATAGGTGGCATCACAAACTCTCACCAGTGTGTTCACATGAAAGTTCTTTAGCTCCTGAAGATCAAGAAGAGAGGGGGTTTTAGATGCGGGACATACAAAACGTATCCTCACAGATCAAAGCATTGAAATGCAGGCGTACCTCAGTGAACTTGTTGAGCGTGGCATTGGTGGGGTTGTGGGTGATGAGGAACCTCATGCACTCGTGGACAATCTCGACTGCAGCGGGGCGGTTCATGTTGGCGAGACGGCTTAAAAAACAATTACAATACAATACTCTTACAAAAACGAAAGCGACTTTTTGGCTCAGAAGTCAGCAAAGAATGCTAGGATATATATTTATATATATATGTGTATGTTCAAGGAAGGGTTGAATAAATAAAAATGACAACACGTTGAGGAGGATGGGTCAAGAGGACAACAGGTGTTCAAATATGGGATGATGTACACAGAGAAATGTTACAAAAAGGATTCACTAGTCCACAGTACTCCAAGATGTAAAAAAAAAAAAAAAATGAATTGAAATGAAAAAAAAAAGAATAAAAAAAGAAAAAAAAAGATGGAGAGACTATCCAGGAGTCATCCAATCAGTTTACCCCATTCAGGAGAGCTGTTTGTGATTGGCTGTTCGAGGAGAAAGCAGAAAGCAAAGGTCTTTTCGTATTGGTCAGGACACGCAGGGCGGTCGGGCCAAGGACTACGCAATATCCCAGGGTGGGGGGCCTTTGGAGGAGTCAGCAGTTCCTAGCGAGCTGGCAGTCAGGGGGGTTTCTGGGTAGCGTAGTCCCTTGGGGGGCGGCCGATTCACTTCTCCGCGCAGGTGAGGTGCTGTGCCTGGCAAAATTCTCCGCTCACACACGCCATATAGGTGCAGCTCAAGTCAACACAGAAACCCTGCCAAGAGAGAGAGAGAGAGAGAGAGTGAGGTTGTATAATAATTTAAATGACATCACACACACAGCTTTTGTGTCTTTATGTTGAACTGGCAATTTGAATAAGTGCTACTTCGAAGAGCCATTATTTTTAAATGACATAATAAGCAGCTTCTTAAAACGTGTTAGCAGGCTGGTCTAAGCCAATGATTTCACTATAATCACAACTGCTGCTGGTCTATTCACAAAGTAGTCATTTATAAACATTAATTCTACGAGTTAGTGAGTGACTAGTCTTTACACTGAATGCAAGTGTCAATACATGTTTTATAAAATACATCAAGTTGTTAAATATTTATCTGTTGACCGTGTCATGTCAACAATATAAAATGGGAAATCGAATTACATAGTAGCTTTTAATACAGACTCACAGTATATGGAAAAGATGCAACCCTAACCTGAGATTTAATGTAGAACTGGGATTTTGGAAAAAAGACTAGTACACAACAGGATAGCAAAGCAGCCCACCTCAGAGCAGCCACTGAGAAGGACTTGTGTCCATGACAACTCAAGTACCCTGGCAAACCAGTGCGCCATAACAAAGCTATAACAAGCCATCATTCAATCTTTGTACATTTGTATTGATTCTGCTTATCACAGCTTAATGTGTGTGTCTCAGTATCTCGATTCACATCGCGTTATGGCATTGCAGAAACACGACGGGTAGTCTGACACGAAGTCACAGCAGGTGCTCCACATACGCACAGAGCGCTGCGCTCCCCTGTTGGCCTTGAAGATCAGGGCCTGTAACCTCTCTGCTACTACCTTTGTACAGTGGGGGGGATCACCCACCCCCCTATTGACATACATAATGAAGGCAAAAGGTCACAGGGCTTATGTTGGGAGCACACTGCAACTTGTTGTACAGAATACAGTTTGAGAGGTCAAGAAGAGTTGATATCTGGTAGGGTGCGCATTGTTTTCATGATTCAGCATTCAGCATTCACAACGGGAGAAGGCAGTTGTCTTTTGAAACTAAAAATGTTCATCAGACCTCTTTGCTATTGAAATACCAGCTTTCAGCATTTAAGCTAAATTAAGTCCAGTCTCCAGAGAAAGGTACAATCATGACTGCAGCTACTTTCCAGACTGTGGACTGACTATACCTTTTGATTACATCACTTGTTTAATTCACTACCTGTCACCAAAATGGAAACTAATAACATGCACAGTCCAGAGCACACATGCTTCACAGGGGTCTCAGAGAACAGGTAATGTCTGGTTGGTAACCAGCCAAGGAGCAGTCCCTTAAACTGTGCCAAGTCCTTGACAGTCTAAACCCAGCCGCCACAAACTGGCTAGAACCAATCCGAGAGCAACACAGGGGATAGGGAGAAGGAAAGGAAGGGGAGGGAGCAGAGAGAGGAGGGAAAGTCTATGACGAAGGCCAATTATTGCTACACCCACTACGTACACAACGTAGTGGGAGGGTAACAGAGGGAAACAGCTTGGACTTCAGCACCGTGTCACAGGCAGTAGTCACAAGGTGAGGATTGTGGTGTGGGCAAAGCTTCAAACAGCCTCAGACATTTCAGTCCCACGCTCCCTCTTTTCACCTCCTCGAGATTGACACAAGACTCTCTGTAGTCTGTTTCTCTTTCCATTCCTATTTCATTCAGGCAATTTAACATTACTGCAAGATGGTACAAAACATTTTTAAATGTGTCTCTCAACTGCCAACCTGTTTGATTACTAATGCAGTTTGAAAAGAATCACCTTCCTATCTTTTATCTTCTTTTTAGAGGGCCACTCCTCAACAACACCAACTTTCTTTTCTTTTTTCCTACCCACTAACCACTGTCACACGGCACTCTATGACTTCAGTCCCTCCCCTTCATTTTTTGTATGTATGGGCACTCAAACCTAGCCTTGCTTTTTTGTTTTTAGTGACAGCCTATTCTGTGTGACGCCTTTAATTACCACCTCTAAGCAGTACTGAAAACAATGCGTCACTGCTTTAGGCATAGGACTGAAGTTTGGAAAAGGAGGAACCAGATTTGAAACCCTTTTCACTTCTGAACTTCAAGAGATTGAGGGTAAAAGTTACCCACCCACTGCCCAAAGTCAAAAAGAGGCTGAAACATTGAGGAAACACTGAAGAACAAAGGGAGTTTATGGAAGAACAAAAGGGCACCACAATGACAGCTTTTGCTTAAATAATGAAAAGCACTCAGATTGTGGGTGGTTGCCAGAGTGTCTTCACACATTCTGCTTTTTAAATGTAGGGTAGTAGCTGGCACAAAGGCAGACATCTGGGCAAAGGGACAGCACGAGAAGTTGTTTGCTGACATCATCAATATTCCACTTTGCATGGGAGTCACAACGACATTATCTGAATCGGTTGCAATTCTCTCATGATTGACTGTTCAAGTCCACAAAACTCTTTTTCCACTGATTTGATGGGGACAATGTAAACAATGCATTGTGTGTACTTCATGACAAGTGAGCTTGACAAAAATATTTGCCAAAGACAGATAGATTAAGGTTATGGAATTCCCAAAAAAAAAGGTAGTGTTTGAAGAGCAGTTGAACTTTGGGCCTCAGTCTTCAGCTTGTCAAAAGAGAAGTGAGTTTTTGTTGTGACATTAGCCCTGCCCAGCTGTATGCCAGCCTGTTTCAGGGAACACATGCAAATCGCTCTGAAATATGCAAACTGGTTCCGCAGTGACACTCTGCACAGATGCAGAAAGAACAAAACAAACACACATACGCACACACCAAATGTGTTTGTAAAAGCAAAAGAGTGTTAAACCACACAGGAAACGAGGGGCGGTGTATACGAAAGCTTTGAATACTGACAGAGCATGTCAGCAACCTTGAACTGAATGTGAAATACAACATTCATTTTCACACACTGAAAAATACAGCTGCTATGATTATCCCAGCTGTACAGTCCTCAAATTCATTACCTTGGCACAGCTGAACTTAACGGAATATGCCAACAGCTAAAGATAATATGAACAATTATATCTCAAATGACCAAGTGTAAACATTGTATAAAGAAAAAAAGCTTATGGAGGAATTCATTTTAAATTCTAAAATCTATGTGTTGCAGTCTATCACAGAAGGATCAGAGTTTCTGTGGTTGGTACTATCAATGCAGTATTGATAATGGATTAATACCAAGCTGTGGCATGTCCATCTTTACTTTACTCAATCACTAAATGAGGACACATGCAGACAGCCATAAAGAGAGTAACCGTTCAAACGCTTTTTATATCCATCACCGACAGTCCTGAGGATAGCTTTGCATCAGGAGAAAAAAAGTGTTTAGATAAATATCAATTGGAGGACTTTTTGAATTAAAACACTGTAATAGAGGTGCTGGGTATGCGCCTCATTTACAGAGGCCAAGTCTCAGCAGCACCAGACCGAGGTTTGATTTTGACTTTGCTCCATGTTGTCTCAGTTCTCTTTCCTTTTTTTATCCAAAAAGAGGAAAATATTACAGAAATCTTGTCTCTGTAAAATGTGTTGTTTTTTTCTTTCTTACTGAATAGTTGACATCTTGATCATCCACCACAGGGGAATACACACCCTGAGTTATAAAATGCTCTAAATATGAATCAGTTCAGAGAAAAATAATAATGATGGAAAAGGGGAGATTTAGGTAAAACAATGAAACAGAATTAGACAAGTGTTGCATGGTTTTAAATGGTCTTAAAAGATGAACTTCTAGCAAGTATATTTGTGTTACATCCGGCCATTTGCGCATGTTTGTCTTTGTACAAGTATATATACTAAACTGGGAGAAAGGTCACTGAGTAAAAGCCGAGGCCCACGCAGCCGCCCAGAGAAAACCCCCTTGGTGCCCTGCTCTTCATCACGTGTTCTACTGTTGGAGTAGCACTGCGAGAAAGAAAAAGGGAGAGTCACGGAGAGACTGGAGAGCGAGGGGCAACTTCCCAAATCAGCTGGCCTCTCACAGAAATCTCGTACAGTGACACGGGAGAAAGAACAGAGAGGAGAGAGAAGCAGATGGGAAGTGTGGGAGAGCAAGGAGTAGCGGGTAAGAGCTGATAAGGACCATGGTATCTCAGAACAGAAAGGGACACGCAAACCTAAACAGGTGATTAAGCTGCAGAAGAATGGGAATCAGGGCATGGGTAGCTTGCAAACCGTTTCAGGCTGAGTCATCAGTTTTGACAGGCGCTCGCCAAGCCATCCAGGTTTTTAGAGCGAATTGAATGAAGAACATTCAACACGAGGAAGCTCAACTTTACAGCGTTGTTATTTATGAATGAAAACAAAACTATCTATGCAACAAGTTGGAGAAGTGATAGCTGGAAAGAGAGCAGTGTAATTGCATGAAAACAAAGGAAAACGCAGCAGTGGGAGGGCTAACTGTGAAGTGTTTCACTGTGTTTAGGATTATCCAACCACAGGTCTTTAATTCTAGAGTAGTGCTTTAATATTGTACTGGCTTTTCATTTTCACTAGATTGATCACATTTAAAAATCTTATTGTGCTTGATGCGGTTGTTCATCAATGTTAAGATGTTATGAAGGAAAAGTTTTTTGATTTCTGATTTTACAACTTGCGGCTGGGAAAAACTGCTAAAAGAGGGAGACTTGGAAAAACTTGTTCTGAACTCTATTAGATGTTTTTGGAACATTTAAGTTCACACTAATGTTACCTCTAATTGAAACATGGTCAATGTTATTAAGTTTTTCAATAAATGTTTGAGCAGAATCCGAGTAAAACCAAGATTTTATTTTTTTTACCCCCTCCATTAGTGAGTGTGACACCTCTATGAGCCTATTCATGTGTTCAGTCCTATTGATTGTGACAACAAACAAAAAAATTAGTCCGGCCCCCGATGAGGTCTCTTTTGACAAATCCGGCCCACTACTATATGTGAGTTTTGACACCCCTGATGTAGACAGTCACAAGCTGGGTTGGGCAATGCATTTGCCAAAAGGGCAAGTGGGGTGTTCTAAAATTAGACAAAAAAAAAACACA